AGACGTCCAGGTCTCATGGTGGTAGGATGATGGCTGCATGCACCGGATCACAAAGCAACCACACGGCTACATTTGCTACTTTATTTGTGTTTCCAGTAATGAAAATAGATCTGCCAGGTTCCATAAATTCCTAAAGTGATACGAAACAGAGAAATGTTAATTGCCATCATTTTTTTTTACATACATTTTCATTAATAAGAGATTTCGGATGCAAATTTCCAAGTTGCTATAGTCACGAATTTACATGAATCTGAAATAACAAAACTAAATTTTGTCTGAAATTCCAATTGAATTCAAATCGAATTTGAACTGAATTCGAAAACAAATTTGAAATATAAACATATTGCTGACCATTGCTGGTTTCTTTCAAAGACTACTGTATGCGTATTAGTCTTAGAATATAGCCATCTTCTGAAATGCAAATTTCGAAAAGAATAAAACAGAATAGAATAGAAACATAAGAATATAATAAAATCGAATAGAAAATAAAGGAATAGAATAGAAAAGAACAGAATAAAATAGAATAGAAAATAAAGGAATTTAATAGAATGCAAAAGAATAGAATAGACTAGAAAATAAAAAATAGAATAGAATAAATAGACTAGAATAAAATAGAATATAGCTGTCGTCCGAAACTAAAATTTTGAAAATAATAAGCAGACTAAATAGAATAGAAAAGAATAGAGTAAAACAGAATAGAATAGAAAAGAATAACAGAAAATACATGAATAGAATACAAAAGAATAGAAAATAAAGGAATTACAAAAAAGAATAGAATAGAATAGAAAATATAAGAATATAATAAAATAGAATAAAGGAATAAAGGAATAGAATAGAAAAAACAGAATAAAAGAGAATAGAAAATAAAGAAATTCAATAGAATGTAAAATAATAGAATAGACTAGAAAATAAAAAATAGAATAGAAAAAATAGACTAGACTAAAATAGAAAGAATATAGCCGTCATCCGAAATTTAAATTTTGAAAAGAATATAATACAATAAAACAGAATAGAATAAAAATAATAGAGTTAAACAAACTAGAATAGAATAGAGAAGAAGAATAGAGTAAAACTGAATAGAATAGAAAAGAACAGAAAATACATGAATAGAATACAAAAGAATAGAAAATAAAGGAATTACAGAAAAGAATAGAATAGAATAGAAAATATAAGAATATAATAAAATAGAATAAAAAATAAAGGAATAGAATAGAAAAAAAACAGAATAAAATAGAATAGAAAATAAAGGAATTCAATAGAATGTAAAATAATAGAATAGACTAGAAAATAGAAAAATTGAATAGAAAAAATAGACTAGACTAAAACAGAAAGAATAGCCGTCGTCCGAAATGTACAATTTTGATAAGAATATAATAGAATAAAACAGAATAGAATAAACATAATAGAGTTAAACAGAATAGAATAAAAAGAACAGAAAATACATGAATAGAATAAAAAAGAATAGAAAATAAAGGAATGATAGAAAATAATAAAATAGAATAGAAAAAAAAGGAATATAATAGAAAAGAACAGAATAAAATAAAATAGAATAGAAAGTAAAAAAATAGAATAGAAAGAATATAGCCATCTTCCAAAATGTGAACTTTGAAAAGAATAGCATAGAATAAAACAGAATAGAATAGAAAAGAATAGAGTAAAACAGACTAGAATAGAAATAAAGGAAAAGTATAGACATTAAAAGAATAGAATAGAAAAGAATAGAACATTAAAAAAATGTAATAGAATAGTATAGAATAGAACTAGCGATTCTTACATTTGAATCGATTTGATCTTTTCGTTTCGAATTTGATTTGAATACTTCAAATCATTAAAAAAAATTGAGTCCAGTCGAAAACGAATAAACAAAGCAAACTAAGCTAATGAAATTAAATTAGTAACTTAACAAATCGATTGGAAACTAAACAAATTGTTTTTTGTTCTGCACATGTCTACCGGTCACATGGCCAAAAAAATTATAAATGTAAAAAAAAGTTTTACAGCTCTCTAAAAATTTTTATTGAACATCAAATATGTATTTTTTGTGTATTAATATGGTGTAGGCAGAATCAAAGATGACATCTGCATCCAAGGCTCTTTTTTTTGCTTCACATATATCAGCAATTACATGAGATATATTTAATGCTGATTTATATTAAAACGAAACTTTTTTGTGAGTTTCCTAGTGAATGTAATTAATTTGCATACTATTATAGCAATAGGAGGACATGGAGGAGAAGGGAGGGGAGTGTCATTTAGAACTCTGTATACACCCATATGTATGACTTTATAGTCATGTGGGCTGTACAGATAAGAAAAAAGAGAAAAGGAAGAGCTTAGAAGGGAATTAACACTGGAGCATGCTCAGTAGATGACAACAGTTGTTCTACACAATCTCCAGCTGCAGCGGGCACACAGACAAAGAGGGAAGGACAGCTGAAGGCAGGATTAACCAGGTATATTTCAATCTACACAAAACAAATGCTTTAGTGGTTTTGTGAGTGTGCAGACCAGGGGCGGACTGACAACTCATGGGGCCCCGGGCAATATGGGATCATGGGGCCCCTGTGTCCTTGCCTAAACTCAAAAAAGTCTATGATAAAGGTACCAGGGGCATCTCATGGGGCCCCCTACTGACCCCAGGCCCTCGGGCAGTGCCGAGTTTCCAAATGGTCAGTCCGCCTTTGGTGCAGACTCTGTTACATAGCATGTAATGAGAGGTTTTCATAGTCTGGGTTTAATGAACCTTTAAAAGGTCCCAGAACCTGCACCTTCGAAAAACAGATCATGAATGGCAGCTCCTTCATTTGTATCGGCAGGGTAAATGATCCTGTGGGTCAGAAACAGGTAACATACAACATACTATATACAGTGCAAGTATCAAGACTATGTAATGTACAACATAGTTTATAGAGCGCATGGGTCAGGAGTAAGTATCATACATCATATCCTGCAGAGCAGCCTTTCTAACCCTCTAATCTTTTTAACATAGAAAAACTCTTAAAATAACTTTTTGTTCTCTGGGAACCCTGCCAACCACTATGCTTGTCTACAGCTTATGGTACACGATGGTCACTGGGGAGAATGATCCTTACATTTGTGGCCATTTGGAAGAATCCCGCATTACTGATTGCCGAAAAGATCATTGGTGTCAGAGATTACGTACAGTATATTGCCAAAAGTATTGGTCGGCCGGCCGGCCCTTTACATGCACATGAACTTTAATGGCATCCCAGTCTTAGTCCGTAGGGTTCAATATTGAGTTGGCCCCGCCCTTTGCTGCTATAACAGCTTCAACTCTTCTGGGAAGGCCGTCCACAAGGTTTAGGAGGGTGTCTATGGGAAGGTTGGACCATTCTTCCAGAAGCACATTTGTGAGGTCAGGCACTGATGTCGGGGGAGGAGGCCTGGCTCGCAGTCTCTGCTCTAATTCATCCCAGAAGGTGTTCTATGGGGTTGAGGTCAGGACTCTGCAGGCCAGTCAAGTTCCTCCACCCCAAACTCGCTCCTCCATGTCTTTATGGACCTTGCTTTGTGCACTGGTGTGCAGTCATGTTGGAACAGGAAGGGGCCATCCCCAAACTCTTCCCACAAAGTAGGGAGCATGAAATTGTCCAAAATGTCTTGGTATGCTGACGTCTTAAGAGTTCCCTTCACTGGAACTAAGGGGCCAACCCTGAATAACAACCCCACACCATAATCCCCCCTCCACCAAACATTACACTTGGCACAATGCAGTTAGGGTAGTACCATTCTCCTGGCAAACACCAAACCCAGACACGTCCATCGCTTTGCCAGACAGAGAAGCGAGATTCATCACTCCAGAGAACTTGTCTCCACTGCTCTAGTGTTCATGGTGTGAAGCATGTCCGGCATGCTTTACACCACTGCATCCGCCGCTTTGCAGTGCACTTGGTGATGTAAGGCTTGGATGCGGCTGCTCGGCCATGGAAACCCATTCCATGAAGCTCTCTACACACTGTTGTTGTGTAATCTGAAGACCACACCAAGTTTGGAGGTCTTTAGCTATTGACTCTGCAGACAGTTGGTGACATCTGTGCACTGTGCGCTTCAGCTGCGCTGACCCCGCTCTGTCATGTGACGTGGCTTACCACTTGGTGGCTGAGTTGTTGTTCCCAGTTGCTTCCACTTTGTTATAATCCCACTAACAGTTGAGAGTGGAATATTTAGTAGCCAGGAAATGTCACGGATGGACTTATTGCCCAGATGGCAAACTATCACGGGACCACGCTTGGAGTCACTGAGCTCCTGAGAGCGACCCATTCTTTCACAAATGTTTGTAGAAGCTGGCTGCATGCCTGTATGAATGAAAAGCGATTTATGAATGGAGGACGGGCGGATGAATGAAAGGTCCACCTCCTCCATTCATAGAGCACTATATCCTTAACTTTCTTTTCTCCCCAAAAAGAGCCATCTTTGTATAAACATTATCAAGAGTAAGCATCTGCTTTCTAACCTGGGATGCTGGTCCAGAGATGGTTGTTACACAGTTACCCAGTCTAAAAAGTTTTGGATTCACACTTTAAGGCTGCATTCACAATTGGCGATTCAGAATGTCCCCATTTTATTTGAATGACAAAAATGGTAAAAAAAAAAACCACCAGAAAATGCAGAATGAAGGACCATTTTCCAATGAACTGAAACCCAACAAATAACTAGAAAGGGCTCTACTGAAAACAAAAGATTTTCCGATATCAGTTTGTTTGCATGCATTGAAAAATACAATAAGAAGCAGGGCGATTAATTTGCATGAATGAGCCCATATCAATAATTGTTTGACCGGCATGCTTGTTGCAAGTCACAGAATGCATGGGTTATAGAATGGTTGAAGCGGTGATTGATGAGGAGCCCTTGTTTCCTGGTGGGGGACAAGAATACACTTGTTTTATATACATATATATATATATATATATATATATATATATATATACCAGTGGCGTATTTAGGTTTTGTGCTGCCCTAGGCAACACAAAAATGGGGTGCCCCCACATGGAGAGAGCCTGACATTAACTAACAGCACCCCTGCCCATCTCCCACCTGAAAGAGCCTTCCACTAACATACCCCCCCGGCGAGAGAGAGAAAGACATTCACCTTCACAGCTCCAGACATCCCAGAGAACAAGAGTCTGGCTCTCCATAAACTATCAAGCAGTCCGCAGCCTCTCTCGGATCCCACCTGGTCCCCATGCCGCATGTGTCCCTTCTTCCGTCCCTTCTTCCAGGGGGACAGTGCTGCCCCCCTGAAAAATGCTCCTTTAGGCAAATGCCTTGTTTGCCTTGTGGTAAATACGCCCTGTGTATATATATATCTCAATAATCAGCACAATGTGCGAAAATGATCAGATAGCATGTTTTAAATTGCTTACGTTACAAGGTCATGTTTGTGTTGCTTTAATCTTATGTACTACATTACTGAATTGAATAATCAGATTACATGATCCTCGGTACAGTTCAGTAAGCTAGGGTGCCACATGTCACGGGTAAAGTCCACAGTCTAGTGCAGTGTACAATGTATAATTCAGTGCTGGGCAATAAAGGAGATGAACACTATCCTGTAATATTAGATTGGTGGAAAAAAAAAAATTCCCTTTGACATGTAAATCAATTGTACATTGTAAATGAACATGTGCGTTGTCAGGTCCACCTTCCATACCATGCTTCATGTTGCATCCATATTTAAAGAATATGTAAACCCAACATTTCCTACTCCTGATATGTGCCTGCTGTACCGTGTACTTGTATGAATACGTCTCCTGCTCTCTTTGTATTGCTTCCTTTGTGTGAAATTTCTGCCAGTCCCCTTGGTTTTTTTTTTTATTAAAAACTGACCACACTAGGCATGGGAGCACAGCATGGTCAGTTCTCTGGCTGTGCTGGAAACACAGGCTGCCCTCCTCCAATGATTAGACTTCTACTCAGACACCCCCTTAACAGCCATTCACTGGAAGATCCTTATGCAGCTGAGAAAAAACGGAATGTGATCAGCTATAAAAAAAATGGGGAAAATAATATATATATATATAAAGTTTTTTGATATCTATACACAAACGTTTTGCTTTTCATTTCTATTTTAGTCCCTGCCCGTGGACCCCATGAGTTGTCAGTCCGCCTTTTGGGGCTTCATGCACTGCTTTTGGGGGGGGGTTGTTCAGCTGGTGATTTGCATATATGGTTGTGTATGAAGTCACACAGATGTCTTCCTAGTTGCACCTGAAGTTTGCACTGACATCCGACTTTGAAATCGTGCGATTTCAAGTGTGGTCGCAAAATTTCAAAGTCAGATTTGGTGGGAATGAAGACTTGAACTGGGTTTTCTTTTACAAGGTAAGGGTTTTGCATATACTTTAAAGCCCAAGCTCCAAGCAGCCTGAAATTTCTCTCTTGTGGCTCTGTGCCCCCCCCCTTGCAAATGTTAACTGGAGAGGTAGGGGGACATGGAAGAGCAGATATACTTATGGCTTGTTTCACACCTATGTAGGTTGCGTTTGACCCGTTCTGCATTTTTGCATTACGCTTTGCGTTTTTGCACCTGTGTTTTTGACTAATTTTTTATGCATTTTGTGAGAGTTTTTTTTTTTTTTTTTTCTTGCTGCTAGGCAGATTTAAAATGCAAAATGCAGCAAAAAATGCAGCAAAAATGCAATACGTGCTTTTCTGCAGCATTTTCCATTGAAGTCTATAGAACCAAAAAGGTAACTTTTTTTCATTCAAAAAAGTCCCTGACCCTTTCCCAAGAAACGCACCGAGTGAAAAATACGGAGATGTGAACGTGTCCCATAGGAAATCGTGTTTAAATTGACTTACTGCATTTCTGCAAAATGCTGCAAAAAAAGGCTTAGGTGTGACCCTAGGGCAGATGGCGTCCCTGGGGGTGCGGGCCGCACGGGTTTGAACACCATCACAGGGGGTGCAGGAGCAGGATGCCAGTAGAGCTTCTGGCTCTGTGAAGGTCCTGGCCATTTAATTGGGGTGACCCGGATTCCCAGCACAGTGACAGCTGCCCCCGGTGTAGAGGTAAAATTGAGTATCCTGTGAAGATATGTATCCCCTGAAGGGCAACTGCGCATGTGTCCGGTTTCAGGCTGAAGAAGCTGATTTGCGGACTTTAGCACAGAGCTGCCAACAGTTAATCCCTTACAGGCTGCAAACCGCTGAAGCTGATCCCGTGGATCACTATGGGTTGCAAGATCAGTTAACCCCCTATATTTTCAACCTGGAGATCAGCTGTTTCTTCGGCTGTAAACCGGCACATGCGCAGTTGCTTCAGGGATACATATCTTTCACGGGATAACTTGTTGTTGTCAGCTGTGGTTAAATGTCTGTTGTCGGTGTTCGGGGGGAAACGATAGTCTAACGGAATTACCCAAGCGCAGTCTGGCGTCGGTTTCTGTGTACAGCACATGTCTAATGCAAAATGCATTGTTTCGAGTGTCCCATCAGAACAGGGATAAAAAGGATAAAAAAACGGAAGTACCCAAGCGCAGTCAGTGGGCTTCGGTTCTGTTACAGCACATGTCTAATGCAAAATGCATTGTTTCGAGTGTCCATCAGAACAGGATAAAAAAGGAAATCTCCCAATGGGGACCCTTGTTCCAGTTACAACTGTCTAAAAGGAGATTTTCTTCTTACCTGTTTCCTGTTGTGTGTAATGGATGGGAAGTGAAGGGAAATCTCTTAATGCAGACATAGATGCCAAAAATAAAAATTCCCCATTCTATCTAAAATGAAAAAAAAATTGGGATTTGATTTATAGTTTAGTTCCACACCGGTTCAATGCGCTCAGTTATTATTCGCATGGTGAATAACCCTAGTTTATGTCACATCACTAAGTCACATCAAGTGATGCCTGATTTTACCACCTGCAGCTTGCGCCAATTAAATACTGGATTAAGAGCCCTTAGAGCCTAATTTTAAACCGGTCGGTTACAGCTGGGGTCAGCCGTGTGCAATTCAGCCCGTTCTGCATTCAGCGAGCTCCTCAAGTAATTATAACATTGGCAAAGACTCAATGTCCCCTGCTGCTACATATTAAAGCTATCCTGTACTCCGGTACTAGCCAAAGAAATGGAGTTTTTAACAGCGATTTTGTACTTTCTTCTACTCAAGTCTCACAGTACAGGTAGTAAGGAGAGTCACAATAGGAATGATAGATATTCTCATGCAAGCGATATTGGAATTTATCTTTTCGGGGGTATAGACATATCCAATTTCATTTTCTTGAAGATCGGAACCTCATCCCCCTTTCTTCAATTTGCAATCTTTTCAGCCCCCATTTTACACATTTTTTTGAAGGGGGGGGGGGGGGGGGGGGGGGGGGCACTTGGTAGTCCTTAAAGAAATATAGTCATGTCTAGCAAATTCTGTTGGTCTGTTGTCATCTGCAAGCTTGGAGCGAGCTTTGGCCACTCGCATCAACTGGAGGAGCAGCTCACAGCCACCATGACCTTCTGATCAGCTGTGCGGTCTCTTCACCAATTCTTGCAGCTGCTCCTGATGATGCACCGCACCCAAAATGTGTGTTAGGATTGGGGGGCTGTTGGGGGTGGAGAGCGATACTCTATGACCACAATTTTTCTCTACTATCTCAATTTAAAGGATGTGCCCAATTTTGCTGGAGGAAGGGCCATGGCTACAAGGTCAGTAATGCACTGAGCGCTGTATGGTTGTGTAGCAGAGAGACCGTATCCGCATCACTTCCACTTGTAAATAGGTATATATGACTCTAATTATGATATATTGAGAATTTAGATTGATATTGTTTATAGTAATATAAAGTACAGAATTTATGAAGCATTTTGCGTCAGCATTTTACATATATATTGTACATTCATGGCACAATCTATATCAGTCCCTGGCCTCAAGGAGCTTAAAATCTATGGTCCTAACTCACATACATGCCCATATTAGTAGTCAGTTTAGACAGGAGCAGGGCGGACTGACAACTCATGGGGCTCCCCGGGCAATAGGGGATCATGGGGCCCCTGTGTCCTTTGCCCAAAACTCAAAAAAGCCAAATGAAAAAGGTACCAGGGGCATCTCATTGGGCCCCCTACTGACCCCGGGCCCTCGGGCAGTTGCCCTAGTTTTTTCCAAATGGTCAGTCCGCCCCTGGACAGGAGCAAATATATCTTTTGGTTTGTAGGAGGAAACTGAGTACCCAGAGGAAACCCACTCTGGCACAGGGAGAATATTATATATAATATATATATATAAATATACACACACATATACACACACACACACACTATCGACAAAAGTATTGGTCGGCCTGCCTTTACACACACATGAACTTTAATGGCATCCCAGTCTTAGTCCGTAGGGTTCAATATTGAGTTTGGCCCCACCCTTTGCTGCTATAACAGCTTCAACTCTTCTGGGAAGGATGTCCACAAGGTTTAGGAGGTGTCTATGGGAAGTTTTAACCATTCCAGAAGCACATTTGTGAGGTCAGGCACTGATGTCAGATGAGAAAGGCCTGTCTCACAGTCTCCGCTCTAATTCATCCCCAAAGGTGTTCTATCAGGTTGAGGTCAGGACTCTGTGCAGGCCAGTCAAGTTCCTCCACCTCCCCCCAAACTGGCTCATCCATGTCTTTATGGACCTTGCTTTGTGCAATAGTGACTAGTTATGTTGGGGACTTGAAATTGTCCAAAATGCTTGAATTCACTGAGCTCCTGAGAGCGACCCATTCTTTCACAAATGTTTGTAGAAGCAGTCTAGATGCTTGATTGTATACACCTGTGGCCATGGAGGTGATTGGGAACACCTGAATCCAATGATTTGGAAGGGTGTCCCAACCAATACTTTTGGCAATATAGTATATATAATATATATATATATATTATATATAATACAGCATATTTGAAAGAAGCTTTTAAATAAAAATATTTTTTCATTTCAGTACTTATATAGCACTGTCAATTTGCGCAACACTTTACATATATATTGTACATTCACATCAGTCCCTAACCCTCAAGGGGGTGTACAATCTAAGGTCCCTAACTCACATTCATACATACACATGCTAGGGCCAATTTAGACAGGATCCAATTAACCTACCAGCATGTCTTTGGGGGTGTGGGAAGGAAACCAGAGTGCCCGGAGGAAGCCCATGCAGGCACAGGGAGAACATGCAAGCTCCAGGCAAGTGGTGCTGTGGTTGGGGATTTGAACCAATGACCCTAGTGCTGCCAGGGGGAAGTGCTAACCGTTTAGCCACTGTGCTGAGGCCCCATTAAACAAATGTTAAATATTATATATGAATATTGCAAACTAACGTTTACAGCTAGAGGTGGGACT